TACGTCCATCGTTAGGTACTTTAGATCGAGCCGAGTGCATCATGCATATGCAATGGTACTTTTTTTTTTACCCCGCATTGTAGCACAAACGTGCGATTCATTCTTGTCCGGCAACATATATATAAGTACATCCTTGATCTCGGTCAATATAAGAAAAACATAGTATTTTCAAAAAGCTTTTAAATACTCTCGCATATAGATCAGAAGAAAACACTTCATTCGAAATCGGATTGTAAAAAAGCAACTTCCATTCTCGATAACATTCAGCTTAGCATACATGAAGAGATAAAGAGTACAGAAAACCAAGAACACGATGAATATTCTATGTGCATAGTAATGATATGCGCAGCTGTATGCGCAGTAAAATTGTTTGTGTAATTTTTAGTTTCCTCTGCTCGTGCAATTTTCGATTTTTGTTTGAGCATATTAAACCCTTTAATCGTGTAAAAAATTTCGGATTCGTGTATTTTTCGTTATGTCTGTGTTACAATCTTTCAAACTATGTGCAATTTTTACCGATACGTGCATTTTTATTTTACTCGTGTAAATTTTTCTTCTAGTTCGTGTATAAAATCGTGATCGTTGTGCAGAAAATAATTTTGAACCAATCGGCGTGCCATATTAATGAGTTAAAGATTATGTTCACACTTTATTCTGCATCAAAGTTTTTCTGACAGAATTCTGGTATTTTTGACCCTGCTTTCGCGAAGCGAGGGACAGCGAGGGACAAAAAAATCTGAGTCGTTCGTCAGTCTGCCAAAAAAACGTAAACCTTGGTCAAACTTTTGAATGAGAAGAGTTAGGGCTTTCATATTTCACAGGCATATTACCTGTGAAGAGTATGGAAGGGAATTACCGCCAAAAGTCTATGTATCTTGCTTTTATTCTTATTCTGACTACTTCTTTATGCTTTGTTATTATTGTAATTATATGTCACTTTATTGTTTTCATATTCGTCTTTATTGCATTTCACTTTGACTTTTATCCTTCTTCATTTTGCCCTTACTTCTATGTTGCTTTATTCTTGTTAATTCATTTTACTTTCTTTTAAATTGATACAGTTTCTTAAATGATTATCTCAATTACGAACGAGAATTCAATCACACAAAGAATGAAGCATATTCAGTGAAGACGAATACAAGTTGTCAAAATTTAGTGCCGCATTATAACGCTAGGTGGCAGGGGTGTTCGCTACGAGTGATGGTAAAACTAGGAAGCAAACCCTTGGGCTCGGGGTTATTAAAGATTTTTCAATTTTCTGCATTAATACTTTATCAATCGAACATTTTTGAAGGCCGATGTTTGTTATAAGATCCAATGATGTACCCGATACATTTATTTCCTCTGCGCACTCGCTAGATGCGTAAGATTTTTTTAAAACATAACTTTATATACTGGTACTTTACTGAATATGCTAATACAGTGGGACTCCCTTTTTGTAAGGGTAAGGGTCAATATAAGGTTAATGTAGTATAGTAGGGATAACATTTAAATTTGATACTATAGAAGAAGTTGAATCTAACCCAAAACCCACCCGCCCCCTTAATATGATTTCATTGGCATCGGAAGCAAAGTGAAAGTTGGGCTAAGGGGGGGAGTTTTTGAAGAAATAGTTTTTAGACCTTCAAAAAACTTGACAAGCATAAAAAAATTTAAGAGAAATGTCCACTGACCAAACACAAAAATCCTATATCGCGTGTGTGTGGTGGTGGTGGTGGTGGATGGGGGGTGGTGGGTTCAAATTTCAGTGCCAATTTCTTTTTTTCAAAACACCACCACTTTCCACATTTAAAACCTATGCTGCATCGAGTCCATGGAAAGTATGTGTGTGTGTGTGGGGGGGGGGGCTAAACCTACGCAGTAATGTTCAATGTCTATATAAGTCTAACGAAGTACAATAGGGGGCTAAGCCCAATACGTCGTGCGGTTCCGACCGACGCCTACTATTTTCAAGTGTGGACAATTTCCTTGGTTTTTTGTTGTTTTTTTTTTTTTTTTTGTTGTTTTGTTTTGTTTTTTTTTCTGCTTGTCAAGTTGTTTTCAGCGGATAGCTTGAATTTTCAAAAACGATGCTACGTCACTGTTCTCTCGCCTGAAAAAATATCACTCTACTAAAGTAATTTGTTAGATAATTGAATTCCCGTTTAACAGTTTAATTGACATAAAAATGCGCGCGATGCCCCTTTATAAATTTATAAATTGCGCGCGTTTTTCAGGACATTCCCAGGCGTGGCGCGCGCGCGAATTGAAGTTAGAGGGGCGCCAAAAGAAAGCAAGGGGTCTGGAGGCCGCCTTGAGGCATAAAAAGGTCAAGGGCAAAGCCCTGGTGGGGGCTCATTGCGAACCCCCGAAAGCCCTTTCTTAGAGATTTTGTAGGGTTGAGGTTTACCAAGTAGGCATATTTACATTTTCTAGACGAAACTGTGATTTATGTTAACTTTGAAAATTTTAGGGGGGTGGGGGCGACCCCCCCTCCTTAAATCCATCACTGGTTCCACCAACTGAACTTTATTTCACGACAGATAGATAGTAATTGCTCCTGCGTGTGATTCTAGGGACGGTGCGTTTGCAAAGAAGTGAGGAGTGTTATTGAAAAGGCAGAGTTGGAACCAGGCTACACCCAGGCATACTAGAAACTCCCCAGTCTTTTTTATGCATTAATATTTTATATTGAAATAGCACTTTTTAATAAAGAAAAGAAATATCTTTTAGGACGCACCGTATTATACATCAGCCAGGAGAGTTAAAAAAATCTTAAAACTTGAAAATTCTATATTTTGGTGGTGAGGGGGGGGGGGTTTTTTCTTTTTTTTCAGTACCAAATATAACTCATATGTACATATGCCACTAAGTACATGGACTACTTTAATATATGAATTGACTACATTGTATTAGCATGTGATTAGTACTGCAACAAAAAGTGCAACTCCTGGGGCAACAAGCCCTGTCGCTGAACTTTTCCGTAGTAAAAAGTATGTTACGTTTAGGAAAATGTTTCGTGGCATCCTCCCCTCTACCGGTGAAACTTACCCCATAGGAGGTCGTACAGACGGAAGTCAGTATATATATTGAGACTTGGGGGTATGATTGTATAACGTCCCTTTAAATTGGAGAATTTTTAACTCAAATGGAGAAGTCACCTCTTGGCGGTGGATAGCTGCAAATTTGTCCTATATACTCGGCACTTATAGCCATTGGGCACAAGGGATCTTTTATCGGGCCAGCACCTACTGCGATACGGGACCTCGGATAATACGCTCTAGATCTCATCCGAAGGACCGAACTCCACGTCCCATAGTGGGATTCGAACCCACGACGTATTGATTGACTCCTTACTACTGTGTTTCGTGACCCTATAGCAGACGCCGTAACCACAGTGCCACGCGGGCAATTGCACCCGAGTGGAGGGGCATCCGGGGGGTGGGGGGGGGGGGCGGAATTCATTATCCATTTGTACTCGTGAAGATTATCTTTGTTTAACCAAATTATTAAAATTATTTAATTATTAACCACTATTAAAATGCCGGGTTTGCTTACCTATTTTTACCAACACTCGTATAGCGAACACCCTGCCACCTAGCGTTATAATGCGGCACTAAACTCGGACAACTTACATTCGTCTTCATTGAATTTAGTGCCGCATTATAACGCTAGGCGGCATTGTTTACATGATTGAATGTACGTTCGTAATCGAGATAATCAAGATAGTTTATTTAAAAAACAATATCAAATTAAAAGAAAGTAGAATGTATTCACAAGAATAAAGCAACATAGAAGTAAGGACACTATAAAGAAAGATAAAAGCTCAAGTGTAATGTAATAAAGACGAATATGAAAACAATAAAGTGACATATAATTACAATAATAACAAAGCATAAGGAAGTAGGCAGAATAAGAATAAAAGCAAGATACATAGACTTTTGGCGGTAATTCCCTTCCATAAGATAAATACAAGTATGACTTTTGTAAACAATGTATTTGGCAATGACTAAATTTTCCATATGCAGACTAATTTGTACAGAAGGGTGTTTTATTATTTATAATTATACATGTAATCTGTGTAAAAAATCATATTAATAAGTAGGATTATGTACATGTATATAAAATATTGAATTATCAATAAGTACAATGCACATCACTGTATTTTTCATTTATGGAAAGATCATGCATTTGAATATAGGAATTACATTCAGATGCACTCTATATGAGCATGCAACACTTGATTATGAATGCATCACTAGCTAATTCTCTATGACTGTATATAAAATTTTCAACATATAATGTGAGTATATATTCATAAATTTCATATTAGTATACCATGATATGAATAGGTTAACCTGTTATTGTATATATACATGAAGTGGTTGACCTTGAGATTGTATGCACAAAAAAGAGACCCATGTTCTCCTGAGTTCCTTAATTTGACAAAAAGGATGAATTTGTAACATGCATTCGATGCACAAAAATGGATGAAGATGTTTTAACTAAAGTAACACAAGAAGGTGGGTGAACTTATGATAATACGAGTATGTAAAGACAAAGTGGATTATTATGAAGAAATTGTATATAAAAGAAATGGGTGATTCAGTGATTGTATATCTTTGAAATACTAGGTGGAACAAAATAGTATACATTTGACATGGGTGAACCAGTGATCATATACATATGAAATGGATAGACCAGTGATTGTATACATATGAAATGGATAGTCAAGTTATTGTATATATATGAAATGGATAGGGTAGTGATTGTATACATATGAAATGATGGTCAAAGTGATTGTAATGGATAGTCAAGTGATTATATTCATATTAAATCAATGGATAGTCAAGTGATTGTATACATATGAAATGAATAAATCAGTGATTGTTCACATATGAAATGGATATAGGCCAGTGTTTGTATACATCTGAATTGAATAGATAGGCATTGATTGTAAACATAGGAAATGATAGACCAGTGATTGTATACACATATAATGGATAGACCAGTATTTGTATACATATGAAAAGGGTGGACCATGGAGTGATTGCATACATACATAAAAATTGGGTAGACCAGTGGTTGTACATGTATACAAATGAAAAGGGTGAGCCAGTGATTCTACATATATACACGACACAGGAAAACTAGTGACTGTTTGCATATGTAATGGGTGAACCACAGTGACATTTCGTGCTCAACACAACACATGAGCTACCTCTGTCAGTTTCTGATTCAGAGTCTGGAGAAGCTATAGGTGGAACCAGTGGTTCAACTGGCTCATTATCAATCGGTTCATTTTCAACAGGCTCATCTTCAACTGGTGACTTAACTGATGCTGTTTCAACAGGAGATTGCACAGGCGACATGTTTTCTATTTCAGGCTGGGGTGTTTCTGGATGTGGTGTTGGCACCTTAGCTTCCTCAAATACTGCATTATTTGTCAATTTAAATTACCAGGCAAGTATGGGTGTGATTCAGAATTCCTACACTCAAAAATAATTTTTCAAATACTTTTATGATGTCAAAAACAAGAAATGCATAAAATTACCTTCATCATCTCCATCTTTTTCTGTTGTTTCCATGGAAACGGGAGGAAGTGAGGTGGAGCTATGATGGGAAGACAACTTTTCTGTTCCGTCCAGGGAGTCTCCTTTCTTACTATGTTCTATGATCAAAGATTAAACAATGTGTCAGACATCATCTTAAGCTTAAAATATCATATTTATGTCATACTTAGTTTTGGATCCAAAGAGTTTAATTATTTCAAGCGAAAAAATATATGTAAATAACTTACATTTCTTTCCCTCAGATATATAAAAAAAATCTGCTTTCTATAATTGTTGCATTCCTCAGAAGATTTACTTTCATAGGTTAAAGTTTGTAAAACACTGACCAGACTCGGATTCCTTGACTTCCTGTCCGTCCTCTAGTCCCTGTTTGAGTTGTGAGTCTGCCTCGGAGCTTCCGTCGAGCCGTGAGGAGTCCAGGTCACTCTCAGGTTTTTCTGCTCCCCATGACTCTTTGGGGATGGAAATGAGATCTCTTTTTGGAACTGTAATGGTTTTCTTAGGAGACAAAGAAGGTGTCCTAAACCTGACTTTTAACCCTGAAAAATTGTGAATTTTGGTATGTTTATAGGTATGAAATATTTTTCTAAAAAGTAAAAGAAAGGAAACTGATGAGGTTAAAATGTTCTAGAGGCTGACAAGAGCTGATAATCTTTCAAAGAGCAGCATTTAGCTAATTCTTAACATTAGTGTGAAAAGGGGCATAACTCTTCATCATCTTTTCTTGTAACACATTGTTACTAATTGTATAAGACAGAGAAAATGTATAATGTATATCTTACAAGTTTATCTTATTCAGCAACCATGCAAGACAATTTAAAATGTATTGTCTTTACATATTATGATATATTTTGATTTAAGCCTATTTTGAAACACAAAATTGATAAATACATGTATACAAATTTTTTTTAAAGATAAATTTGATTTACTTCTGTCTGACACAGGAGAGTGGGGAGAGGAGGTTTCTCTGGCCTGTTTCCGTAACTCCAACATGTCAGCATTTCTTCTCCTTAAAGCCTCCCTTTTCTTTAATGTCTACAGCCCAAACAAAACAAAATAATACATTTTGTGATATATGTTCCATTAAAAGACAGAATTGATCTTTCACATTTCAAATTCTAATGGTATATTAATTCTAATATTTCAATTTACTGTTGAATACAGATGATAAAAAAAAATTGATTTTCAGTGTAAAATTTAAAATATCTACTAGAAATAATTCAAAAGTATAAAACAATTAAGTTATCAAAAAATTTAATAAATCATCAATTTTATGTATTGCACTGCTTTAAATGATTAACTTTGAACATTGAAAAGTTTAATTTATGTAGTTCTGAAAAACAAATTAAAAGTGAACAGTGATTGTACTAATTAAAGGTAAAATACCTGTACCAACTAATGACTACTTGCTAAATTTATGATTTTTGAGTCTCTTTTACCAATAAAAATTACAAAAAAGAAGAAATCTATGACTCCCTACATCCTTAATTTGAAAAAAGGGTAAATTTAAATAAATGCTGTATTAAGTTTTCATGCATTTCATTTCTCCCTAAATTAAAATCAATAATAAAAATACCAGACTGAATAAACAAGTTACATTCATTTAATTATTTCACAGAAATTAATATACATAAACATCATGAGCAGCAACACTGGCAATCTTAGTTCACATTAGGCTATATATGAACCCCTGCCCTTTATAGCAATCCTAAGACATGGAAAACACTAATTATAGTACAGATATATTTTATTTAAAAAATAACATATACATTGTACATTTTATTAACAATATAATTATTTTAATATCATAACATGGCAATAAAAAGATTGATTATTTGCACTATTACACTTTTATATAGTGTGTGTGATACATAAATAAATTTAGCATCATATTGGGGTCTGTAAAAATTTAAATCACAATTTTTCTCTGAATAAATATGAAACTTGAAAAAGCTATAAAAATAACACTGAAAATGGAGAATGTTTTCACTAATATTTTGGACAGTAGGTATTGTTGACAAATGACAAGATGGCCAATGCATCACTTCCTGTTTGAAAGAGATTCTCTTTAACATTGAAATGAACCTATTTTTCTGATGCTAAAAATACACAGATGTACACGTGTAATAAATCATGTTCATCATGTCTGTTTGACAAAACTGTGAGACTCAAGTTTAAGCATGTCACTATCTCATGAATGTCCAAGCTATAAATGAAAATGTACTATATTTGCCTCAAATGGAAATGAAATGAATACTTTCTCAAGTATTATTCTGGATACATAGTATTCACACTCACAAAGCAAACAAGAAATATTTGTCAACTTTTTGTATTCCATAACAGTTGATATATTTATATTATAACCCATATGTTACATAATATATGTTTTGCAAAAATTAAGCATAATTTATTTGTGTGATAATACTGTTATATTCATTTACACAATATATGGAAATCAAAAAATAATAAAATCTATGTACAAATATTTCCTCCTCATTCAGTAAAAAAGCCATTTCCATTATTTGATATTTGTGGCAGTAAAAATATTGTAACAATCTGACCACAGTGACTACGTACATCTCTTTTTTGTTCAGTTTGATATTTAAAAAAAAATATAAAGTATATCACAGAGTCATACAGCTCTTCTTCATTTCATCAATTCATAACAGCATTCAAAAATGCTAAGAATTTTGATATTTGTATTGAAGCAAGGTAATAAACCAATATGGTCTTGAATATATTTTTCACCAAGCTTTGACAATTTAAAGAGATCATGTGACATGAATCATGTGACTCATTCGCCCACAGCTATTGGTGGTGTTGACCTTGTTGTAGTCTGGGTACTGATCACACCTGTTCAAACTGGGCTTTCCGACTGCTGAGATTATTGTCTCTCGGACTCGTAGGTGGGCTCAGTGTTCCCCCTCTTGATTTCCTGTCAAAAAAGAACATAAAAAGTCAGCTTGTTAAGATTGCAAAAATTAATGATAGCATTTTTTTAAGGCAAATGATTAGAAAATTATCAAGAATATTTACTTCCTTATGAGTTTCATATTTACAAATTAAAGGAAAATCAGTTTCCTGATAATTAATCAAATTTTGCAAAAATTAATTTACGCAGCTATATAAACTTAAGACAAAATATCAATCACTGTATATATATCTGAATTAAAATGACAGTTACAACTTATTCAAACAAGTATTCATAGTTGTAATTGAAAAATTGTAATAAATTTTATTCCCCTATAGAACTTACTTTAGTTCCTCCTCTCTCTCCCTCATCTCCCGCAGTTCTTTCTCGATTTTGGACTCGGCCTGATTTCTAGATTCCCTGTATGAAAAGAGGCTCCACCAGTTTTGACTGTTGGCCTTTTGTACTTGACTGGCTCTTCCTTGCTGATTTGTGGGGACATCTTTGGGGGTTCCACATCACCGTTTTCGGAGGGGGTGTTTGATGAACTTGGACTATCCCCAGGGAGGGGAAGGCTTGATGTACTTTTCCTTGTTACAAAATTTCTTTTCACTGGTCCTTCATTTTTAGGAATGCCAGCAACTTCTGCATATTTTAATGTCCCTATGTGTTCCTCAGAAGTTGAGATAATCTTTCCCTCATCTCTAAGCTTGTGTTCCCTTTCTTTCTGTTTTAAAATTTCGTTTTGTAGCCGTGATGTTGCAAAGTTTCTCATGGACTTTGTTCCTTCTGCAGTGTTGACCTTGTTTCTGTAGTTATATGACACAGGTTCTTCATTCACTGAAGACTTTTCCGAGACATCGTCCCCTGCTGGTTTCTACGACTTCAGAAAGTAATGGCAGTCCTTTCTGACGCCTCAGTTCATTTTCCCTTTCTCTTGCTATTCTGATTTCACGTTCAATAGGAGTTTCCTTCCTTTCCACTGGTTTGGAGTCTGTTTCATCCTCTTCTGCCGAGTCTGCAATGGGCTGAACACGAACTGAGCGTGAAGGGGTGTGACTAGAAACTTTGGGGGATTGAACACTTGGAGATAGTTGCCATGTCTTTTTCACAGTTTCTTGTGTAGGGGTTTTGGGTGGTGGTGGTTGTTTGTTGGTTGCTTCAGGAGCAGGACTAGGCTTGCTGCCTCCATGCATTCGCTCTCTCATCCTACGAATTTCCTCCTCCCTTTCTTTTGCCTCGCGTAGTTCCTTTGCAATAAGACTCTCTCCTTCATGATGAAAAGGTTCCTGAATTGCCTCTTCATATGTGACTTGCTTACTGTTTGTCACTGGTGCCTCCATTTTTTCTGGTTCTTGTGAAACTGGTTCTACCTTTTCCGGTTCTGGTTCCTTTACTTCTGGCTCTTTATTCAGAGAGTGTCTTTTGGCGATTTCCTCCTCTCGTTCCTTCTGGAGCCGAATTTCCTTGGCAATGAGACTCTCTCTACTGCTATCTGGGTTCTCTTCAACCTGTGGAAAAAAATATTCAGTCCTTGTAAAAACTGTGTAACATGTGTGAGTTGCCAATAAAATCAATCACGAACACAAAGCTTCATTCAAGGTATATTGATAAAGAATAAGACGGCTAATGCAATACTTAAATAAAACCCATATATCATCTAATGCACATATAACATTATGTAGGACTTTTTTTTGTCATTAAAACAAAAAATTCTTATTCTTTTAGGTTTCTATTTATAACTCTTAAATGATGCAGGAGTCTTGGAACAATTGAGAACTTCATATATTGAATTTTTTTAAATTTCATAATATTAATCTGCATCAGTGGTTATTTAACAATTTATTTTAACATGCTTTCTCACTGGTAAAAAACATCACATTTTAAAATTTTTCACCTACCAGGTAAAAGAGTAATCTTTAATGATATCGGGTGAGGTAAAAGCTGTAAACTTTCAGTGTATTTCGTTATATACCCAACAAATACTTTATCCGACTTCATTATTCACACAAACCTGGGCTGGGCTCAAATCCCAGCCAAGATTTTATTGAACAGGTATGTATGTCATAAATTTCACTGGATGCCAATACTTTGTCTCAAATTGTTCAATGACACATATCAAGTCAAGGTAAAAATTTGTGTAGGATGGCTGATTTTTCTTTATCAGAATTTTTAGTAACCAGGCGTTTAGTGCAACTGCTGTAGACTTATCCATTTACTAGTTTATTTTCATCTGTGGTGATTTATCAAACAGTTTTGCAATTGCACAACAAGTCACCCACGCAGTAATTTTTTAACTTATGATTCACTTCCATTTTAAATGCATTTTTAAACCCCCTTTTTTGACTACTGGGTATTTTAACATACATTTATGAGCTTAATCTACAAGTTAGTGGTCGTTTTAAATTTTTCCACATTAATAATTCATAGTAACACATATATTATAATGCATTATTCATAATATTAAAGTATTTCCTTTTATATTCTTTAATATTCAGTACTAAAAAACTTTTCCATTCTACACAGCTACACAATCATGCACCTTACGAATGTTCAATTAATATAGGATTAGTTACCTGTGATCTATATACAATTTAAGCGTGTTTTGACCCTAACTGACCTGAGGGGTGACAGCCGGCGGGGCTTTTGTTGTCAGTGCCTCCTCTCTCTCCTTCTGCTCCTCTATTTCCTGCTGAATCAATGTCTCCCGTTTCTGAAGCTCTGATCCCCGATCAGCCTCCGTCATCTCGTGGTACATTGTCTTGAATTCTGTGTTGTTGTTTTCATTTTCGAACATTTTCGTATTGACCTGATTTTTGGAGGCATTCTGTCGTTTGGCAAGTTCCATGCGTTCTTCTTGTTCTTTTCGCAGCATCTCCTCTCTTTCATTTGCCAGACGAATTTCACGTTCAATTGCACTTTCGTTTGCGTAAGGGTCCTCCTCCATTTTGAATGGTTTTCTTGGCTGTGTGTCTTCAACTTCTGGATGAGGAATCACTTTGGAAGACGGATTGGGTTTATACGGAAGTTTCACCTCCCAGTGTTTGACTGGTGTGCTCGATTTCTTGGGAGTTACCTTCGCGGGACTTGGGTCAGTCTTGCCAGAACTCTGTAGGATGGTCTCCCACTGTT